AGCACCGTCCCCCCCCCAGACCCCAAATCCCAGGGTAAGACCCTCAGCACATGGCCCTTAGGGGGAGCCCCCTTGCCCAGCGCCCCCCATTCTAGGAGCATGGGCAGGCCCCCATCCCCTGCAGCCCTTCCTTGGGGTCATCCCCCCAGACAGGGAGATGGAGAAAGGGGTCTTATATCCCCAAAAACTGCCCCCATAGTGGCCAATATGGACTGTGGTGGGATGGGGGGGGTGAGTCACTCTGCCCCTGTCTGGGGTAATGGGGAAGGGGGATTGGCACAGCTTGGCAGAGTGTGTGTGTGTGCCATCCTGGGCTCTGGCTAGTTACAGTGGCAATAAAAATAGTGGGTGTTTAAAGATGTGCTCTGGGAGTGGAAGGAGGCGGGGGCTGGCATGGAGGGAGGGGCCATTTCATTCACATTCTTGTGCCCCCTACTGACTAAATGAGAAAATAAATAAACCCCAGACAGACAGAGACAAACAGACACGTGGGGGGCCCCCCCAGCCCCTCCCCCTCTCTGAGGGGGGGGGGTCACACACATATACATGTACCCTCACACACACAACTGCCCCCAACCCCTCCTCAGTCCCCTCTCCCCACACATGCACACAGCAGCAGCCACGCCTCCTCTGGGCAGGGGCGGGAAAGGCTCTCGGGGAAGGGCTCAGGCATAGGCCCCCTGCCCCCTCCATGGCAGGGTGAGGGTCAGGCCCCGCACTTCCTCCGGCGGTGGCTATGTCCATCCATCCATCCATGTTGAGGTGTCTGTGGAAGAACGGGGTGGGGGGTGGAGGGGATGAGGTACTTATGTCAGCCCTTGGGTGGTCCTCCTCTATCCCCAAGACCCAGCAGCCTCTGAGGTGGGGAGCACCCTGTCCCCCAAGCTCCCAGCATCCCAGCGAGGGAAATACCATGGATCCACTCGCAGAAGCCTCTGAGGTGGCCAGAGCCTCCCAGACCCCAGCAACCCCAGGGCAAACTGCTCCCTTCCCAGAAGCCCCTGGGGTAGGTGGCTCTTCTCTAGCTCCCAGAAGCCCCTGAAGCAGATAGTATCTCCCACCTCCCAGAAGCCACCAGTGCAGGCAGGTTCCATCTCCCAGCAGCCCCTGGGGCGGGCCGCTCTCCTGACTCTCAGCAGCCCCCAGGGTGGGCCACTCTCCTGACTCACCCCTCAGGTGGGCACTAGCAGGAGTAGGTTCGCACTGAGACACTGTCCCCTCGTTGACTGGACAAGGAGTTTCCTGGGGGAGATGGACAGGAAAGGTCAGAGGCCACATTGTCCCGTCCATGTTGCTTCCCCCTCCCCACACACACACTACCACACCCCTCCAAGCAAGGCTGTCTAGATGGGCAGAAGATCTCTGGAGCTGAGCTTTCCCAGGACAGTGCCCTGGCCAGACTTCCCACAGGTGTTGTGAGCTCCCCTTTGGGACAGTGGGCCCCCCCCTCTGGTCCTGTGCTCTGAGCTATTCCAAGAGGGTGCCCCCAGGGCTGTGACTTTCCTCAAGACAGTGTCCCATACCCCCATGGTGGGAGCTCCAGAGCCAGGTATACCTCTACCCTCCAGGGTTATGAGGTTCCCCAAAACAATGCCCCACCCCCTGAGGGCCACAAGCTTCCCTGGGATGGTGCCATGCCTACCTTCAGGCTGCACCTTGCGCAGCTGGGCACTGGGTGAGGCGATGGCAGCGCTGCGGAAGTTGGGGGGCAGCATCTCAGCGGAGTCGGGGCTCACCCCCCGCAGGTCCTTCTCCCGGAACATCTTGCGCCACGAGGGCGACCGGCTGAACGTCTTGGTGCTGTCCTGGGGGGAGGGGGGCAAAAGTCACAGCCAGCCATAGGGTACCTGGTACTGCATGGGTGGGGGGAGGTACCACCATGCTGTGGGGGGGCAGGTCAAAGGTCAGGTGGTGCCTTGGGGTAGGAGGAAAAAAAATCAGAAAGGAGGAGCAGGGGGCAAAGGTCACTCCTGGAGGTCAGGCATAACGAGAGGCTGTATTGAGGGACAGGGATGCACATAGGGGCTGGGGTGGCATTGGGGGGAAGGGAGTAATTGATGTGCAGGGGGCAAACAGGGGTCCCCACCTCATCCAGCCGCCGCTCAGTTCCCATGGTGATGAGGTTAGCGAATTCCTTCTCCAGGATTTGCCGAGCCTGAGGAGGCACATGCGGGGGGCGGGGGTCAGAGCTTACAGCCCCTCACCCAGTCTGATAGCCCTTTCCCCATGAGCCTTTGCACCTGCTCCCAGCCCCTGGACTCCTCCCTCATCTCAGACCCCTCTCATCAGCCCCCCTCCTCTGCTCCTGCCCCCCCCAACCCATGACTTCTGCCAGCCTCAGCCCTCCGCCACTCCCACCTGGGTGTTCTGGGTGGGGATCTGCAGCAGCAGGGCCAGGTCGCTGCAGTCAAAAGTGTCATCGAGAGCCAGCAGCGCGCCATGCACCCCACTCTCCGCCAAGTTGTTGGCAAACTCCTTCAGCCCAATCAGCTGCAGCCAGCACATCACCCGCTCGTTGGACCACACCATCACGTCTGGCGGGGAGGAGAGACAGTGTCACCAGTGCCTACTACAGGGCCCCTTGTGCCTCACCCCTTAGCCCTCCTGGTACCCCGCACTCCTGACCCACAGCCTCCTGCTCACCTCTAAGCTCTGCTGGTACACCTCACTCCCAACCTGCAGCCTCTTACCCGCCGCCAGCCCTGCTGGTGCCCCTCACTCCCAACCCGCAGCCCTGTGGTACCTTTGATCTGATTCTGACTCTCTTCCCGCCTGCGTTCCAGGTCCTTGCGGTCATAGTTGAGTCGTTTCAGACACATAATCCCGTAGTGCAGGCTCACTCTGAGGGTGTGGGGGAGATGGGATGTGGTCAGGGTGGGGGATGGGCTGCCTGGACTACACTCTTAATCCTGGGGTGCCCTTGAGGAAGCTGTGCCCCATGTGGAGGAGCCCCAATCTAGAATCCTTTGAGTCAGGTTACCC